GTCGGAGCTCTATGGGGCCACGAAACGTGTGAGGGGTGTGCCGAATTGGGTGTGGGTGACGCATGCGGGCGGCAGCACTGGGGCCTTCGGCGGAGCTCCTATGGGGCTACGAAACGCTGTACTGGGTCGGTGAAACGCAGGGAAGAGGGGGAGGAGGGAGGAGGAGGGGGAGGAGGAGGAGAGGAGAGGAAGAGAGGAGGAGAAGAGAGGAGGACGCGGGGACCGTCTCTTCAAAACGAGGACCCAACACCACAGGATGGTTGGGAACAATCTACCGTATTACAATATGGCGGCAGAAGGCCTAACAACATCATTAAATAGCATAGAGAGCATTCTACGATTACAGGGGACCATGCGGGAGACCATACGGGAGACCACAGCGGGAAACCGTTCGGGAGACCATACGGGAGACCATACGGGAGCCCATACGGAAGACCTTACTGGAAGCCATACGGAAAACCATCTGGAAACCAATACGGGAGACCATAGAGGAGACCATATACGGGAGACCAAACTGTAGGCCACGCGGGAGGCCACACGGAAGGCTATACGGGAGACCACGAGCCACGAACCACTGATCCTGGATCAGGGGGACTTCACACCTGCATTGAAACCTTGTGCTGGACCGTTACAAACAAGCTATTTAGATAGCGAAGGCATCACAGGGCACCAGCTGTGGATCACAACCGATGAAGCACCAGGGCAAGAACGCGAAAGCCGCAACCATCAAAGCAGCATAGGGCACCAGCCATAACTATAGCGCCTGGGCAAGGACGCGGAAACCGCAACCATCCAAGGCATCACAGGGCACCAGCCACGGAACACCACACATAGAGCGCCAGGGCCAAAGAACATATAAGCAACCCCGACTTCTGACTACTTTCCAAACAAGTAGGGCCCCCTTGGTGCAAGCACTGCTCGGGGAATGTGGGTAAGCCTGACCTGCCACCATTCCCCTTTTCCTCCCACCCCTCCCCTCCCCTCCCCTCACCCCCCCCCCCTCCCCCTCCCACTCCCCTCCCATCCCATCCCATCCCCTCCCTTTTACACTTGCTCAATATAAATACTATTCTCCTCCGTTCTCCGATGACGTCCAGAAGATGTCTGGCCCCTCTCCGCGTAATGTTCTTTTAAACACCAGATTCCCTGGAGTTGGTCTTCGCTGGATTTTTTCCCAAAATTCTGCTCCCGCTGAAGCGCTGGCCTCATTTTCGGGCTTCCGCTCGTTCCGAATCGTGCTCCCGCTGCAGCGCTGGCCTCATTTTCGGGCTTCCGCTCGTTCCGAATCGTGCTCCCGCTGCAGCGCTGGCATCATTTCCGCGCTTCCGCTCGTTCCGAATCGTGCTCCCGTTGCAGCGCTGACCTCATTTCCGCGCTTCCGCTCGTTCCGAATCGCGCTCCCGCTGCAGCGCTGGCCTCATTACCGCGCTTCCGCTCGTTCCGAATCGTGCTCCCGCTGCAGCGCTGGCCTCATTTCCGCGCTTCCGCTCGTTCCGAATCGTGCTCCGGCTGCAGCGCTGGCGTCATTACTTCCAGTGCCATGCCACGGCATGCAATGCAATGCTATGTGGTGTTCCGCTGTGCGATGCCATGCCTTCAGCTGCCATGCTAGGATATGCAGTGGTTGACTACGCAGTGCCAAGCCATGCTATGCCATGCGACGCTTGGATCTTCAACACCATGCGACGCCATGTTGTGTTATGTGCCGCTGTGCGATGCCATTATTTGCGTCGCAATGCTGTGTGATGTAATTATTCACTACGCAACGCCACGCCGTGTTATGACATACTACGCTCTGCGTGCTCTTCTACGCCCTGCTATGCCGTGCTCTACGATGCATCGCGCACCCTCTCGGGATCATTGCCCTGCTCGATGCCCAACTATGTGAATAGAGAGGAGACCTACGCCATGGTAAGAGATGGGAGGGAGGGGTAGGACGTCAGATATGGCGCGAGCGCACCCAGCCAGTCCTCCCCCCCTCTCCCCTCCACATCCCCTCCCCTCTCCCCTCTGCCCTCCCCCCTTTCTCCTCCCGCTCCCCTCCCCCTCCCCTCTCCCCTCCCACCCCATTTGGGAGCGGCAGGGGGACCTGCGCCCCGAGAGAGCTGGCCAAACGGATGGGGACCCGGGGCCGACCAGCTCCGAACCAGTCCCCGGACCCCTCTCGCCGGGGTCGAGCCTGGCCACCTCTCCGAGCCACGCCCCGCCGTGGCGACGAGGGGGCCCCTGTCTGTCCCCTTCGTCTCTGCTGAACGGAACCAGTGCTGGGCCACCTCGGCCCCCCCGCCGGCTCCGACACCCAACCCGGAGGCCTCCCACGTGAGCGACGATCTCAAGAGTAGGGCTTTACGCGGGACGACATAGCGACCTTACGCAATGGTTTGCGCGGGCCGCCAGCACTGCACGTTACACTGGAAGCTAGGGCGCCTACGCGCGACTTTACGCGAGCAATACTTGGGATGGTCGCCCGCTGGGGGACTTCTCCCCATCTCGTGTGGGATTTCTCTCCTGGGTGCGTAAGCAAGAACAGTTTTACGACCTGCTCAGGTCGGGAATGAGCGTCCTGCTCAGGTCGGAGCAGTTTTGAGGCGCAATCCTCCGATCCCATCTACTACGACCCCATCCCAGAGGCCTGTTGGCTGGATCTACACGGCTGGATTTACATGGCTGGGTTTACATGTGGAACATCTGGAGGCCACTTGCTGGATACACACGTGGAGTATCACCGTGCCTGGAAAGACACGTGGCCACGTATGTATTCAGCTCTCGCCGAGGCCGGCAACATCAAGTGTATCCAGCTTCCTGGTGGTCATCCCCTCTCCTCCCCTCCATTCCCTCGTGTCCTGTCTACTGTAGTCACTCCCCCTCTCGCCTCGCCGGCGCTCCCCCTCCCACGGCCCTGGCAGCCACTCTCCCCGCCCCGCCTCTCGCCACCCCTCCGAGTCAGCAAGAGGGAAACGATGCCGAACGCCGACGGGTCTCCAAGGAGCCCACACAGCACGTAACACGCCCAGGCAACGCACATGAATACGGCCCCCCAGCCCGCGAGGTCAGGCTCGCGTCGTCGCGGTCGTCGTCGTCGTCGTCGTCGTTGTCGTCGTCGTCGTGGTCGTGGTCGTCGGCGTCGTCGTCGTCATCGTCGTCATCGTCGTCGTCCATAAACGTTCTTGCAAAGCGTACTTTCGAAACCAGTGTGGACTCGTGTGCGTGTACGTCCTTCTTGCTCTCCTGAGGTCTCCACCCCCTGCGGGCACTCCCCCGAGAGCTGCGCGCCGGCGGAGAGGAGCTCGGCCACGCGCCTGGAGCTCGGACAGCATCGGCACCTGGCCCGGAGGCCCAGATCCCCTCGCGTCTTGACACAATCACGACGGACAATCGGTGGCAATCTTCGGCCTCCAGGAGTCCTCGCGGCGCCCCAGGACCGTCAGAGATGACTCGGGGAGAAAAACCGGTCCGGGGGGATGGATGGAGACCTCCGGGAGTCCACGTCATGAACAAATCATGACGTAGGGGGCCTGGGGAGTTCTGTTGCATCTTCGGGGGAACCTGTATGTCCCGTCCCGCCGCCGTCCGCGCCGAATCCATGTCTCCCTTGTCGACTCCGCGCCGAATCGGCACCGAAGCCGCGTCGAATCCACGTCCGATCCGCGTCGAATCCGCCTCGAACCTGCACCGGGCACGAGAAAAAACAGCAGCTTTGAGGACGGCGTAGCGTGGCCGAGGGTGCAGCGGGACCGAGGGAGCCCCAGAGGCGCGGGTCGCGCGGGCAGCGCAGGCAGGGGTCTGCGCGCGCTCTCGCAGTGCAGCCGGGGGCGTCCTCCGGAGGGGTCGCGGCGGGGGCCTGCCCCGAGGGGAGGCGCCTCGGCACTCCGGGAGCCTCGCGCACGGCCGCGGTGTGAGGCCCTGGGCAGGATCAGTCGCCCACGTCCAGCTCGGACTTCCTCCCAAACTTTGGGGGGGTCGTCAGGAAATCTGCGGGCCCTCCGCTCTCGGTGGGCCGCTGCGTGTGCACGTGGGCGATCTGCGGTCGGAGAGCTTGAGGGGCCTGTGCGGCCGCCCCCCTCGTTTTTCGTTCGAAAGAGAGGACAGTGGCCAGAGCGGACCCCATCGCTATCGTGGCCTATGAGCCACTTGCTCGCCCATGGAGAGACCTATCCACAGTGGCACTAGGAAGGAAGGAAGGAAGGAAGGAAGGAAGGAAGGAAGGAAGGAAGGAAGGAAGGAAGGAAGGAAGGGTCGGATCAGTCAGCGTCGAGTCGGAAACTCGGATCGGGTCGAAGCGTGCGTCAGAACGGGCTGCACCGGCACGGAATCGACATCGAATCGGATCGTCCGCGCCAGGAAGCACGACAGCGCCGTTCAAACAGCGGGCCGCCTCGGATCGGATCGGGCTGGCTGGCATCGATATCGAATCGGATCGATCGGATCGACGTGGCCCCTGCCCGGGACAACGGCGAGAAGAGCTCCAGGAAAAAACGGAAATGGTGCCCGCACGGCTGGCCGAGAGCCCGCGGGCAGGGGGAGGAGGGCGTCTCCCCGGCTGCACTCCCCATGATGGCGACCAGGGGGGGAGATGAAGCGAGGACCGTGACCAAGACTGAGCGCAGAAACGTCGTGGCAGTCTTGGTCACCGTCCACCTTGGTCAGCGTCGGTTCGTGGATCATCCTCGCAGATTGGCGACGGCCGGCGTGGACCATGACCAAGATCGGTGTCAACAAGGCCCCGCGACATCTTGGTCATGGTCAGTGTGCTTCTTCCCTCGAGTCCAGGGAGGCAGAATCACACAGGACGCAGCTCGCGCCAAGCCGAGGAAGATGCTGCTGTGGATCGGAGCATGGTGTGAGGGAGAGGCGGAGCAAGGAGGGGAAGGCGAAGCAAGAGATGATGACATCCCAAGCTTGGTGCGATGGTTGAGGGGGCGGGCCAGTGCAGGAGTGAGGGACAGCGGAAGGGGGAGAGCATTCGGCGGCGAGCGAGGGGGAGAAGTGAGAAGGAGAAGATCCTCTCAGAAGGCGGCGGGGCTTCTCGGAAGCCCTCGCGCATTTTGAGAAGCCTCTGTGTCTGCGGGGAAGGCTTAGAAAACTTCCCAGAAGGCCGGGAGACTTCCGAGACTTCTGCGAAGGCCCGCCTCTTCTCACTTCCCCTCTGGGCTCGCCGCCGACAGAGGAAGGGGGAGGGTATAGATGGGACGACGGGCCTGGAGGGAGAGAGAGAGAGAGAGAAAGAGAGGGAAAGAGATAGGGGAAAAAAAGACTGACATGCTGACTGACTGGCAGACGGACAGACGAACAGACAGACAGACAGACAGACAGACAGACAGACAGACAGACAGACAGACAGACCTGATCCCAGGAAAGCGCACGTCCCCCGCCCGTGCGCTGGAAGTAAATGACACCAGTCGGTGAACTAAAACACTTGCTCCAGGAAGAAAAAGGCATGTGCCAACCGAGCATCAGAAAAATTCGGCATGGAAGCTCACACCTGCAGGGCAAGCACAAAGGCACGTTGCTGCCGATGCCTTTGCTGCTGAAGCGGCCCCATGAAACGAGGAAGCAAACACACACACACACACAGACACAAACAAACAAACACACACACACAAACACACACAGGCAGGCAGTCAGTCAGACAGACAGAAAGACTTTTGTTGATCGCAGCGGCGCGGATCGACGCCGCGGCCGGAGGCAGCCGAGGGGCACTACGGGGCCGAACTGGGCACCACAGGAGAGGGACGGGCGCGGACGGGAGAGAGGGAAGCCGCAGGCGGCGGAGCACGCTCACGCTCAGACGGGCAGAAAGACAGGCACCGAGGCAGAGACGGGGAAAACAAACCAAGAAACAAAAAAACGGAGACGGAGAGGGAGGGAGCAGAGGGAGGAGGCAGAGGGGCGACGGGAGGGGGAGCGAGGCAGCGAGGAACCAGCAGGAGGCGAGGGAGGAAGCGAGGGATGCGAGGCAGGGAGCGGGCGAGAAGGGGAGGGAGGGCTGGGAAGGGGAGACGACGACGACGACGACGACGACGACGACGACGACGACGACGACGACGACGACGACGACGACGGAGACGGCAACGAAAACGAAACCAGCGGTCAGCATCCCGTGGCCCCGAACGCGAGGAACCTCCGGGGCTGCAGCAGGCGGGGTGGCGCGGAGCCGGGGCGCGGAGCCTTTCCCACGTAGCCTTTCAGGTCCGTCACCTGCCCGAACACCACCTCGCGGCCCACAGGAGGGAAGGGGGGTGACACGAGGGGGGGAGGCAGGGAGAGGATGATCCTCCTCGCATCCTCCTCCGCCTTCTCCTGCTCCTCCTCCTTTCCTCCTCCTCCTCCTTCTCCTCCTCCTCCTCCTCCTCCTCCTCCTCTTCCTCCTCCTCCTCCTCCATCCTCTCTCCTTCTCATCCTCCTCCTCCCCTTCCTCCTCCTCCTCCTCCTCCATCCTCCTTCCTTCTCCTCCTCCATTTCTTTTCCTTATACATAACTTCTCCCTGTCGCACCCCGAGCCCCGTTTTAAGCCGGGCCGAGCGTTTCGCATGAGACTTCCTAACAATGTATGGCCCTGAAGCTTAACGATTGGTAACAGCTTCACAGATGGAGGGCGGGTCGATTTCACCATGTGGCTCTCGCCTTGGCGCCACGCACAGTCGTTTTAAACAATATTTGCAAGAGTTGCACGGATTGAAAGCGAAGCGTTTCCAAAATGTGGATATCGCCTCAGCGCCTGGCACATTCGTTCTGCAAAAATTGCAAGAGTTTCACGGATTGTGGGCGGTTCCTTTTCAAAATGTCGTTCTCGCCGTAGCGCCGCGCACTCTCGTCTTTTAAATGTGCAATGGCTTCACGGATTGAGGGTGGCTCCTTTTCAAAACGTGGCTCTCGCATTAGCACCGCGCACATAAAGTTGCAACAAAAGTTTCACTGGTTCCCATGATCAGCGAACGTACCAGGAATGGCTTTTTGGAAAGAACCAGGATTACGAAGGTGCAACAGTTACGTTGGTTCGCGGTTTTGAAATCCGACGAACGGGTGTCCGGCACAATTCAGGAACGTCAAGACGCAACAGTCAGGTTGGTCAGTGGCGTGGGAATCCCGAGAACAATGTTTTGGCATGCTTCAGGGTCTTCGAACGGTTGTCCTCCAACGAGGCAGTTCCCGCAGTGGAAATGAACTGTCGTAGGGGCCTATGAAGAGAGAGAGCTTGGAGGGAGGGTTTGTCCCAAAATCGTAGATGACTCTTGGGTTTACACTCCTCCTCCTCATCATCCTCCTCCTCCTCCTCTTCCTCCTCATCCTCCTCCTACTCCTCCTCCCCCTCCTCCTCCTCCTTCTCCTCCTCCTCCTTTTCATTATCCTCCTCCTCCTCGTCATCCTCCTCCTTC